TGGAACGTCCAAGCTCGTCGAGACGGCCACCTGCACTCGCTTCGACTCAGCTGTGGGCTCGGGCTGATGCTGCTTCGGGAAGGCCACCTGCTCTCGCTTCGTCACGCCGTCCATCTGTGGCGCCGCCATCAGCTCATTGCCATCTTCTGGAGGTCGTTGCACCTCCTCTGCTTGCACGCTGTCGAAATACTCGTCTAGATCGAAGGGATCGTACTCATCTGCAGCTGGGCCTTCACAATCTCCACGTGGGGCCCGCTCGTCAGCGGCCCTGGGGGCGCGCTCATCGGGAAGATTAGCCACCCGCGCGTCCGCGGCCCCCCGCGTCCGATGGCGGGCCTCTCTGCTGCCTATCTCTGGAACGTGCAGCCTCGTCGAGACGGCCGCCTGCCCTCGCTGCGACTTAGCTGTGGGCTCAGGCTGATGCTGCTCCGGGGGGGCCACCTGCTCTCGCTCCGTCGCGCACTCCATCTGTGGCGCGGCCACCTGCTCATCGCCACCTTCTGGAAGTTGTTGCGCATCACCTGCTTGCTCGCTGTCGAGATACCCTTCTAGATCGTCGACAGGATCCTGCTCATCTGCAGCTAGGCCTTCGCAGTCTCCCCGTGGGCCCCGCTCGTCAGCGGCCCTGGGGGCGCGCTCATCGGGAAGATTAGCCGCCCGCGCGTCCGCGGCCCCCCGCGTCCGATGGTGGGCCTCTCTGCTGCCTATCTCTGGAACGTGCAGCCTCGTCGAGACGGCCGCCTGCCCTCGCTGCGACTTAGCTGTGGGCTCAGGCTGATGCTGCTCCGGGGGGGGGCCACCTGCTCTCGCTCCGTCGCGCACTCCATCTGTGGCGCGGCCACCTGCTCATCGCCACCTTCTGGAAGTTGTTGCGCATCACCTGCTTGCTCGCTGTCGAGATACCCTTCTAGATCGTCGACAGGATCCTGCTCATCTGCAGCTGGGCCTTCGCAGTCTCCCCGTGGGCCCCGCTCGTCAGCGGCCCTGGAGACGCGCTCGTCGGGAAGGAGGGCATCGGCCACCCGCGCGTCCGCGGCCTCCTGCGTCCGATGGTGGGCCTCTATGCTGCTCTCATGCGGAGTAACGTGTGGATCTTTCTGCCTGCTACTGCTGCTCCCATGCGAACTTACGCGTGACTCGTCCTGACTGCTCTCCGTAGTTATCCGCGGAGAAAGTCCTGGCGCTATGTTTTTCCCGAAACTGCATCTAGCGCCGGTGGGGGTGAGAAGGTCGCGGTCGCCGCAGAAGCTGACCACGATGAAATTGGAAGTGCTACAGACGCTTGGGTCCATGCCGTTCGCGCCTCGATACCGTCATCGTCGTCGTATCATTCATTGTAGTACTCGGGGTGCTCCTCTGGCGGTGCGCGGTCTTGAAGGTAAGCTCGGGATGCCTCCAGAACTCGGCGCTCTTCCAAGACGATAGGTCTGCCCGTTCTGCCAAGACGCTCCTCCAAGACGAGAGGTCTGCCCGTTCTGCCAAGGATGCCAGGTGCAGCAGGGTCGCCTGTCTCGTCGGGCTCCCTCGGCGCCATGCTTCCAAGCAAAACTCCTCGGTCTCCTGGAAGCTGCAGCGCGTAATCCCCATCACTTAGGGCACGCGCCATAGCATCCATTTGCGCCCGCCGTGCTCGCTGTCATCGAGCTGCGTGATCCATTGGCCAGCCCAACTCTTGAGCTGGTCAGCGGCTCTCTGCTTCGCCGCACTGGGGCCCCACATCCTCGGCGTGCGGCAGCCATGTGCACGACCTGCATGTGCAGCAGGGCCTTCGCTGTCTCCCTGAGGGCCCCGCTCGTCAGCGGCCCTGGAGACGCGCTCATCGGGAAGGGGGGTCTCGGCCACCCGCGCGTCCGCGGCTTCCTGCCTCCGATGGTGGGCCCTGCTGCTGGTAGTCGCCGAACTGCATGTCCTTGTGGCTCGCTCTGCCCTGGAGGTGGGTGCGGGGCCCGAAGCCGCTCGCTCTGCCCCCGCGGTGGGTGCTGAACCCGATGACCTGGACATCGAAGTGCGGGAGCCCATCGTCGCCGTGGTCCACTCAGCGTCAAAGCCCCTGCCGAGCTCCCTTGGCCGCAGAAAACAGCCTCTTGACCTTATCTTGGAACTGGGGTCCCTCGTCACGATCATGATGCCCGGGCACAGGAGTGTTCTCGGCGGTCCGAGCAGCAGGCGCACCGCCCGCCGAGGAAGGTGCCCCAGCTGGCGCCGCCGCGGGCGCTGGGGCGGGTGCGCGAGCACCTGCCGCTGCTACTCCGCCCTCGGCCTGCTCCGCGGCGGTCTCGGCAGGAGCCTCGAGGAGAGGAGGAGGAGGAGGAGGAGGAGGAGGAGGAGGAGGAGGAGGAGGAGGGGGAGGAGGATTAGGAGGATTAGGAGGATTAGGAGGAAGGAGAAGGAAGGAACAGGAGGAAGAGTGATGAGGAGGGGTAGACAGAGGAGGAGGGAGGCCGGAGGACGAGAGGATAGGGGGAGGGAGGAGGAGGCGAGGAGGAGAGGAGGAGAGGAGGAGATGAGCAGGAAACGCCAGAGGAGGAAGGATAATAGGAGGGAGGGGAGGAGGAGGAGGATGGAGGACCGCCACCGCCCTCCTTGAGGCAGCTAGGCATCCAGGAGCAGGCACTTAATACCCCAGGAGGAGCGGCCCAGCGATCTGCTGGGGCCTCACCTCCGGTAACAAGACCTTCGCCCTGGGCCGTTCCTCCTCTCCTCCGCCGCCTCCGCCGCCTCCTCCTCCTCCTACCTCCTCCTCTCTCTTCCTCCTCCTCCGCCCGCCGCCTCCGCCTCCGCCTCCGCCTCCTGCTCCGCCTCACCGCCCTCCTCCTCCTCCTCCTCCTCCTCCTCCTCCTCGTCCTCCTCCTCCTCCTCCTCCTCCTCCTCCTCCTCCTTTTTCTCTTTTTCTCTTTTTCCTCCCTCCTCCTCCTCCTCCTCCTCCTCCTCCCCGATTTGCTGGGGCCTCCCCTGGGGACCAGCCCTTCGCGTCCTCCCGTTTTCGGGCTATAGCAGACGAGGCCAGAACGAAGGTACATTCGGGCGATCATCAATTGGAAATCACTGAGGCCCGGCGGCTCGGCTCTGGAGGATGTCTCGGGCGCCGCGGCCTTCTCAGAGTGTTCCGGAACGCTCTGAGAGCGTTCTGGAACGCTCTGGAACGGACTTACCCTCTTCCTGGCCCCGTCCAAGCATGACTCGGGTCTCCAGCGGCCGTTCGGGACGATGCGCGCACCTCCAGCGCGGGAGGATTTTCGGCGGGGCGCTGCCGCTGAAGGCATCCCGAGGCTGGAGAACTGATGAGAACCGACGAAGACCGTTCGAAAACCTTGGAACTCGAACCTCGACCCCCCCCTTCCTGGACTCGGATGCCTGGTGGACCTGGAAAGGAAATCCTGGCTTGCAGAGCCCTGGCGTCGGGGGCCCTGACTCGGGCCAGGCGACAGGGGGGATAGCCAAAGGGGGGTGTTGGCAGAACTGGGTTTAGTGGAACCTGGTTTAGTGATTTGTACCGGGGGCGCCCCCCCGTCCCATTTCCACTCACCGGAACTGCCGTCACCCGAAAAACACCAGTTACGGCAAACCTGGTTTAGTGAATCTGGCCAATTGAGGGGCCCCAGCTGGCCATCGCTCGGACGTCCATTTCCTGTTTTTTTTTTTGGTTTCGCGCGTGGTTTTATGCCAAATGATAAAGGATGCCCCTCGATGGCCCTCGCCGAAGGAAAAATGCACACATCCGAGCGATGCCAAGCCAGGGCCCTACCACTAACCGGGTCCCCTTACCCGGGGTCCTGGCTACACCCGACAAAGGGGGGGGGGGTAGCGAAGCAGCTCACGCAGCTGGTCTCGGGGATGGACAGGCCCCCTTTTAGCAAAACGTGGTTGAGTGAAAACCACCTGAGGCCCAAAACTGGCGGGCGCAAGCCTGGAAAAGAACGGCCACGGCGCCCTCTCGAGAACCGCAAACGGACAATCCACTAATCGACGTGTCCCTGTTGGGGGTTCTGCCCACCCCCGACCATCCCCGGGCTCTGGCAGCCCAGGGCCCACTCCGGAACTGCAGGCGCGGTGACCCAGACCGCCGGGAGGCAGTTAGAGGCCTCCTGGAGGAGGTCCGAGTAGATGGGGTCGGAGGGACGCGCCGCATCGGCGAGAAACTCGGGACTCACACCGAGGGGGTCCTGCCCACCCCCGATGGTCTCCCCGGTGTGCCCCCCGTCGCCAGCCCCGCGGCGAGGCCGCAGCGAGCGGCAGACCCC